GTAAGTTTAAAATTCAGCAGAAGAAGACATAATAATATATATATATATATATATATATATGAATTTAAATATAGATATAAACACAAATAAAAGTATAAATATATAGGAATTTGATAGCAATTCATCGAGAATTGCTGTTGAATGAATCTTGAATGGCTGGTTGAAAATCAGGCTGAAAGAATAATGAACCAATGCAAGAGCTGCATTTTTACTAATGAGCACTTTTGGAAATCACAAAATGCCATAAACTAATTTCCTCATCACCGTAGCTCATCAAGCTTACAAATTCAGTCTTCAGAAAAAGGAATTTAAGCAAGGAAAGAGGGAACAGTAATGACGAAAAAAAGGGAGAGGACGATATCAATGATTTAATTTACGGATAGGAAAGTGGGAACAGAGGTTAAATTTGAATACATATCAAGCAAAGGGAGAGTGACGCAATGATCCTTTTTTAGTTTTATGCATTTTAATGGTAAAAAGCTGCTCTGTCATCATTTTGGGTCCAAAAAAAAGTAGTCGAAGATAAATCACGAGCATATTAATCTTGTAGGAAAAGGACATTGGCGGTTAACAATGGATTTTCGAAAATGAAAATTTTTTAGCAAGAAGAAGGGAGGGGAGAAAAGATGAAGTGTTTCAGATTATAGGCAGTACTGATTAATCTTTCTTTAAAAACATTTTATATGTTTGCTTGGGCTCTTCCTCTATTCTGAAATCTTTTTGGGAAGATTTTATCGACAACTTCGTAAACATATATATATATATATATATATATTAATTGAAAGTACTATATATATAGTACTTTTAGTTTTTTGCAATCAATATGAGTAGCAATAGAGCATTGCATGAAACAAATTGCACCATTATCAAGTTCCTTAAAACCTGAATTTTTTGAAAACTTGGTATGGTTCCTATCAAGTTATACCATTCAGAGCATCTATAATTGTGAACTGATCTAAAAATTTCAAGTATTTACGAAATATTAAGAAGTGAAAGTTTTCCTATGAATCAGGCTGAAACATTATTTAAAAGTCTGAAAATTTAAATCAGAACCGTAAATTATTTTTGATTTCTTAGGTTCAAATTGGTTGACTTGATTAGTTCAAAATTTGTTGGCAAAGTATATTTGGCCAATTATAGTATTGATACTGCAGCCAATAAGTTCACTTCATCCATAAACTCTAATCATATTTCGACATCACATGTCCGCTCCAACCAATACGTAAGTATTTTTTGTAATTCTAGTTGGAAACCCCATGTTTATATAGGAATAAAGCTGTCGAATGATCTCTTTAAATGGGAATAGAACTGTTGAATGCATTTGTTTGTTGAACAGAGCGCTTATGTAAAGCTCTTTGAAGAAACATGTTGAAATGAATGATTTAGGGCTAAATTTTACTTGTTGTTGGCCATATTTTCTCAAAGCAGCTAAATTTACCAAGCATTCAGAATCACTTGAATATGTCCACTAACGATGCTTATTTCATAGAGTTCTTGCGTTGCACCACCAAAAATGCATCACATTAAAAGAAAGTGTCGATAAAAAAAATGTTTTAAAGAGAAAGAGAGCACTTCAATGTTTGATGAGTTCTCGATCTCGTATCACATAGTTTTGCTTTTCATACATAAAGCGCCGCCTTCAGCAAAGCCCATCAATATTTGACTTTCTTTTTTTCACAGTTTTTGCAAATCGTTGAGTCGATGCGAAAAAAAAGAATTCGCTTTGGATTGACCTGAAAAAAAATTGATTTCTGATACATAACTTGGTCCTAACTAAAGCTCAAACTGGAAAAAGTGCGTCAACAAATAAAAACAAAAAACATTAAATTTGAGCAAAAAGCAGTTTTAAAAATATCATTTTTCATAATTCTGATTTTCATTAGTTGAAGAACACAAGAAAAGGGTCATTTGAATGCCAAGGCGAGACAATCGGTCATCCACTTAGGCGAACAGTAAATGACCGGTTTTCTAGAAAGGCAGTTTGAGCTTCCGAGAGTGATTACAAATTTCCATAAAATGTTTTGCGAACTTTTTCTGATTTATTCGCCTTCCTTTATAATGTATGTATGGACAGTTGCTCTCTTCAAAACTGCCTTACCAAAATAAACTTAAAAGGTGAAGAAAACAAATTAAAAGGCACTTTGACGTCATTTATCCAACAATTTTCTATAAAAATTGCCTTAATTTTGTAAACATCTCAGTAGGTTGTTTACGAAATTAGGCATAACTTTAAGTACTATTTACTATTTATACCTTTAACTTCATTATCTCATCGATGTGGGTGGTAACTTTTTATTGCCAAATTTGCATATCGACTGTAGGTTAAATTTAAGAGAAAATAACAAATTTCAACTCTTCACTTTCTCAAATGCTGTCAACATGAATTTCAAAATCTGAATATTTCACTGCATTTTTTTTCAATTTTGACTTTTCAAGCAGTACTTTTCAGCATTTAATGGAAACTAGTTTCTAGCAATACATGCCAACACTATTGCATTTCTACATTTTGAAATAGAATGTTACAAGAACCGCGAAAAAAGATAACACTTTCAGTACTTATATTCAGTGAATATTGATATGGGGATTCTTATCATATTCAGAATTATATTTTCCGCTGCATTTTCTGTGTCTTATAACAACATTGATAAATAAACCCGTCAACGTTCAATATAATTCTGAAAGTATTTGACATAAAATATCTCTTTTTGGATGATTGTATTTAACAATCAGATATTTATAATGGTCAAAATACGGCTTAAGTTAAAATAGGTCAAAGTTCCAGGTGTCGTGGCTAAAATTTGCAGACTTCTTGACCTTAATTCTCTTGGAAATTCCTTTTAAATTTAAAGCTCTTTCCTTCCTTAAAAGAATCGAAATCCGAAAATTTTTCGTCTGCTTTTCGAAATATGGAAGTAAATTATCAGCGATAAACCAATTTTAAAAGTTTGAAATTAGTAACATCTAAATTAACTGGCAAGACAATAATTAGGGCTAACTTATCGTTAAATTTCAATTATATCAACATCTGGAATGGAAAATGAATTCGTCTAAAGTGTCATGCGAACAAACAAATCAACCTGGATGAGGAGTATTTTTCCTTATTTTACAAGCCAGAAGGAATAGACTGAATTTGACGAGAAGGATATCTATAGCAGAAGAGCAACTGCATATCTACCTCCAAATCAAAAATGACGATAAGTGTAATCACGTTTCTTCCGTTTATTGCCGGATTTATCTGAGCCCGTTTGTGAGGGCAGGATCGATGTATTCAGATGCATGAAGGAGAGTGTAGCATAGTTGAATGTTGATTGACTTGATTATTTGGCTTTCTTCATTTCATGGCATTGACAAAATCACTTGATTACTTTTCAAATTAAAAGAATTTAAAGATGAACCGACACTTGCATGAAATTTAAATTTAATAATTATTCAAATACATTTTTGAAAGGGAAAGTAATCGAGTGATTTTGATTACTAGTAATCAAATAATCAAGTGATATCCTTAATGTTCGAGTGACTATAAGTGCTCATAAAGGTGAATAAGTTCAGATGAGCCTTTCGTCATTGTGGCATTCTCAGAATTCCATCCCTTCGTTCATTTTCATCTTCAAATACCCCTCTTCTGAAATAAAATTTGCTGCTCATCTCACGAATTTTCATAATACTTTAAATGTTTTTATGCAATTTATAATCTAAAGGGAAGGAAGAAATAAAAACAAAAGTAAATTTTATAGAATTTATTTGGTTCGAATAGTGAACATCATAGAAGTTAATTCAAGAATGGTTATTTCAATGGCCTAATCAACAATCGAGATAATGACCATTACGTTATAATCCTTTTCCAACTTTTTCGCTCTCACCACTGGTCTTTCCTGAAATAAAGTTCCTGATTGGCTATAACCCTTCGAAGTTTCAAATTACGGAAGCAAAAAGAGAAATAAAATTGATGCATTTATCACATTATTTGTGTAGAGGAATATAGTTCTTGGATAACTGCAATACGGACAATAATGACTTCAAACGCAATATTTCGTTTATGAATGAATTTGAAATTATCATGTAATAACAAAATAATGCATTTTCGGTTATGGTGAGTGATTTCTCAACTGAGTTGTTCCATTGCTTATTTAAAAGAAAAAAGTGATGCTAAATTCTTAATATTAAATACTATGGGTAAAAGAATAATATTCAAATTTTGTCAGTTTTCTATCACTTATCAACACAGTTTATCGTCATTATTATCACTCTCGTCATATGATATTTTTCTGCTCAGTCGTTATGGCAATTGTCATTTCTGCATTTTTTCATTTCTAATAAATTATGGCACGTTCCTCATTTTAATTTCAATACTTTTTCAGGCCTCAACTCTCAACATTCGGGAGTCTCGAATTTTTCAAAAATAAACCTTTATTCATTCTTCATCAGTTCTATATCCATATAAAGTGACTTACAGCTAGAAACAGATGGTCATTAGAGACGCAGCGGCAATCACTAGGGAGTGTCAACAACAAATATTTTTATATTTTACACATATAACCGGTATCAACAATCACACCTTTTAATTCGCTGAATTCTGGAAAAAAAGAAAAATTACCCACCGAAATAACTGAAGAGCAAATATATAATAACTGACTGCACTGTAAATGACTAAATTTTTATCAAATTAATTTAATTAACTTCGGTAAATAAGAAGTAATACAACCAGTTTTAGAAGCCAAAAAATTCGTTCAAAAGCACAAAATACACTGTTATCGTAGCGGACTGCATCATGACAATTAACCATTTTATTTTTAATATAATTTGGTAAACATCCCACGAAGTTAAAAAAAAAAAATTTCTTTCTTGTAAAAAAAATTTCCTTTTCTGTTAAATATAAGAGAAAGACTTCTGGAAGGATATAAAAGGAAAGTGATGAAAGAAATCAGTGAAAAATGAGTGATAACGAAGATTTGTCTTTGTTAAAATCTTATCAGTGTTTGATAGTCACATTAAATGAAATGTAAAGGAAATTGTCATTACCAAATGGAAATTGAAACCAATCGCAAATACTGCAACTGCAAGCTTGAAAAGAATGAAAGGATTGAATTCTTTGGTGATCTGATCAATTGATCGCGGTCTTGATCTTTTTTTTGGGTAAAAATTTGTTTTTATGAACAGTTGAGAAATGTATCAATATGAACTGAACGGACAGAAAGTTTCGATGTAATCTTTAGAGAAGATAAATGATTAATATTGAACAAAGTTACCTGTACACTTTTTTGGTTGATGATTCACTTACTTCAAGTGCATATGAAACGTCATCCAGGTGTCCTTTTGTCACCCAATAAGCAGTACATTACACAACCATTACTTTTCAAGTTTACCAAACATTATTCATTATATGCATTTTTTATATGTGTATCACGCAGTTCTGCCTGTTTTGCTTGCTCCCTCTTGCATTTTTACCCAAGAATGAAAGCATTTGTGACTGTTAGCTTATTTATTTCATGCGCTATTGTCTATCTACAACTACCATCTCTATTTTTGGTTGGTGGGCCATGGATAAACATAAATAATTTTAACAGCTATTTTTTGGCATAGAGAGACGAATTGACAGTGAAGTGGAACAGGCAATCAAATAATGAATTGACCGGCAGAGCCTAAAAATTCGAGTTAGTAATTGGTTTCAGCACTTACTGTATCAACGTATCAAAAGCTGCCAGGTATTTGAGTAGCTTGACAAGACTTCAAATTTAGATGCATCCTTACAAAAGTTCAAAAAGAAAGCAATGATGGTTCTACGACAAGAAAAAACACAGCATCAGGTGGCTGTAACAAAACTCTCATCCGATGCAAAAAAAAACCAACGCATTGCTGAGTTCCATTGCTAACAACGCCCCACTGACAGTAAAACAGAAACGAATGAAGATTCAGATGGCCTTCAATGGTAACTATTTTATCTTACAGCTACTTTCAAGCATATCATAGACCTTACTGATGCACTTACTCCTTCCTAATCTTCCATCCTAATCCTTCCTAATGAAATGGTTCTCGGGATAGATTTATTGCTGACTTTTCACTTTTCCATTCTTTCTTCATTTGCATATGTCGCATTCTTCCTACATCTTCTTTTACGTCCACTTCATTGCCTGTCATACAATTTTCCAGCACTCTCAGAAAATATTAAACAAGAATTAAAGCGAATAATGCAATGTTGAGAAGAAGAGAGATCATCCACCTATTATTGTCATTTTAAAATAACAAAGCGTTCAAATAGTATTTAATACAATTTCGAGTCAAATAACTTTTATATTAGCCATTTATAAGAAGAAAAACATTTCTGTGTTGAATAAATGTTACAATAGAAAGAGCTTATGGAACAATGAAGAGAATTGAAAGCAGTGCTATTGTTCATTTCATTTTGGATACCTTTACAATTTTAATATGATTCCGAAATTATTGAATGTTAGCACAAATAATTAAGAGTTAGCTGATGCTGTACCAAAAAGGTTTTTGTTCCTAATTTATTTAAATTTAAATTTATTTTATGGTGAATGACTAACATTGCCTCCGCTTGTTTAAAGAATTTGAACAATAGATCAAAAATGAAAGAGCGAATAAAATGAAGGAAAATGTGAAGCTGTCATTTTGTTGCAAATTGTTTAAAATGTTGAAATCAATTCGTATCCAAAATTTTTCTAAAACAATAAATAGTTTTCTCATAAAAATTGACCACAATATCAACAATATAACTTGGCCATTTTCATCCTTTTTCATTCAAACATCCTTCTTCTCCATCTCTTACGCCTTTTTGTCTTTGTTTTATTACAAGATAGCTATTTAAATGATCTAAGCAAGCAGTGCTTTAGTAATAAATTTTATGGATTTATTAATTCAAATTGAACGGTCAAATATTGCCTTTCTTGTTTTCATATTTTTTTTCTGTAAAAATCCATGTCAACGTTTTTGTATTCCAACAACCGAACAACACAACAAAGTACCACAGCAAATGAATCTCATTCGGTCATTTCTTCCATTTTCTGTGGTCATCTTAAAGAACACTGTTAATGCATAACTATTGATCTAGTTAGAACATACTTCTTTCATTCTTATATTTCTTCTATAACTGACATGGAATAAGTCCTCACAAAACTCATTCTAGAAGAAATGTCTAAAGTCCTGTGATCATCCTGCATGTTGTCGACGACAAATCTCATTCGTTTTAAACTACCGCGGGGTAGGTAAGCCATATGCTAGCTGTAACTTTTGAAAACGAATACCAAATTTACGATAATTTAAAATGTACCCATAAAATATGCTTGTGGTTGCTAACAAGGCGTTAATGTTTTTAAAAGTTAAGTGAATTTGCTTCATGACAAGTGTAATTCCGAAAATGGTTAAATTTGCAGATTTATTCCGAAATTTCGGTGGATGGAAAAGATGAAATTTGTTTTGTTAGGGCTTCCTGTCCTACTAACACTTCGTACTGTGTACGCTGACAAGCAATTCATAATCCCACCATTTCTACTGGGCGCACCGGAATCAGAAGTGATAGAGATGAAAGAACTGCTTCGAAAAAACGCCGACAAACCGGATTTTCAGATGGAAGCAGTAGTGGAGCAATGGGTGAAAGCAAAAGGCGGTGTGATTAAGGTGCGAGTAGAACGCTTTATTTAAATATTTCAGTACGACAAGATTTCCCAAGTAATGCATGGAAGAGAAATAATATTTGAAAGTAACACAAAATCGTCCTTTTATTACGATTGATTTCATCGTATCGCCAATACAAATAATCTATTTTTTTTGTTGAAAAAATACAATAGGAGAGAAAAAATTGTTGAAGAAAAATTTTGGATTGTTCATTCTAAACTTTAGGAAATTTTCAAATACAATGCATAGTAATGGGGAAGTTTGCAAGTATTATGACAGACTCAGTTAGAATGAAGTACTGAAAGTATAAACTTAATTGAATCCAAATTTTCCAGTATTGGTTGATGTCTTTTGATTGTTGCATATCTTTTTAATTTCTCCTAAGGCATGTAAAAGCTTTCAAGAGAAATTAAAAAAATATGCAACAGTCAAATAACCATTGTCAACTGCAAACCATCGTCAGTTTGTTATTTGCAAACTGTAAATTTTCCATACAGTGTAAAATAATTGATGCTTTTGAAAAAAATACTAAGACTCAGTTTTGCTGCCTTAGGAGTATTTCTAGATGGATTTCTAGGAAAAATATGATCAATTTAAAGCCAACATGCAGTTAATGCATGAGAAGGCAACTTTATTGAGAGAAGCAATGGCTAAAAATTTGTCGGCAGAAGCCAGAAAAGCAGATGAGGATTTGGCCAACATTGGCAACGATCGAACATTGTCTGCACAACAGAAAAAAGAAAAATTTGAAAAATATTTAGCAAGTAATTGCTTTTTAAATTAGTAAATAAAATCTAAATTTCAAATGGGTTTGTGCTACATTACAAAATAGATTTGTAATGTATAAGAATAGCCTCAATGGACAAGATAATCTATTCAAATTTCAGTAATTATTTTTGGTTTTAGTTTTTATTTCCTTCTGCATTATTTTCTTCAGATTCCTGTATTTTCAGATTTACCCTTAGCAGTGAGAAACGAATTGCAAGCAGTATTTTACACCAAATTTTAAAGATGAGCACAATTTGATGCGCTGATACATTACAATGTAAGCTATCAGCAAAAAGATAATAAACCAGTTTTTGCGCACATTCAACTTGTATCACATGTTAAACAATGCAATAAAAACCGAAATATGCAATGATATGATTACACAGTTCGACATTTTGGAACACTTTCATTTGAGTTTCTGAATTTCAACAACTTTTCAATGTTGGAAACATTGAAGGATTTAAACCAACGAGCTGTTAAGACCATCTCACCCTTTTTTTTTTTTTGAACTAGATTCCGAGCCAAGCATAAATACAGCGTGAGTTATAACTATCAAATGAATAACAACCATAATATCTTTGATGTATTTTAGATCAAAATTACTAGGTAAACTAAAAGGTTTAAAGTAAATGCCATATGATGCATCAGTCATTTTCCATTTCAATAATTTCGGAAAAGTTCGACGAATGCAAATGTAGTATATTTGTTGACGATATAGTCGTAATATTCGCTGAAAAGACTGATGATGATGAGTTGTGCCTCGCTTTCTGCTTCTGTTCAAAGATGTGGAATGTTGGGGTATACTAGAAGAACTGGTTTACCTTATATCACCGCATTCTGACAGAAGATTTTTGTAAAAGGTGTGAATCATCCATCTACCGTAAATTGCTTTCTATATGCATATGCATGTGCCATTTCACTACCGCAAGTAATTTAACAAATTTTCACATTTCATTGCATTATTAATTTAAAATGACTGTAATGAATGGAAATTTTTAGCTTTGTGACTTTTGAAGATCACTCAAATATCATACACATAGAGCAAAAGATCTCATTTCTCATTGCAATGGTTGTTTAAGAAAAGTGTTTTGAACTCCGATGAAACAGTGCTTAATTTGGAGCCTAAAATTTCAGGAGCAACTTAAATAATTACGAAATAATTGATCTTAAACCATTAAATAAAATGAAAAGGAGAATCTTACTCCTTTTTTGAAACATTTAACTTTGCTCGCCGAATTTTTCTTCATCCTAACCAAAACCTTTCCATATATTGGTTTTGTCAGTTTAGTCTCATAGTTACCAAACTTGTATTACCAACTGTTTTGATTTGAATGTTTAAAATTACGGGAAAAAGGAGAATTTAAATGACATAAATCATGTTTTAAGTATCATTTTCGTTGTTGCTATCGTGTGACAATAACACAATAACAATAACAATGCATCAAATCATGCGACAATAACAGTGCATCAAAAACTATAATAACAATGCATCAAAAAAAAAAATCGTACGACAATAACAATGCATCAAATACTTCTATGACTTGCGTCCTAAAAATGGAATTTTCGCTATTCTGATGGGACACTCCAGAATTATAATCAGAATCAGAATCGGTCCCATAATTAGTAATCATTTCTCTAATGAGTGACATATTTTACGAAGAACAGGAAAAAGCTTTCCAATGTTCTGGAAATACGAAAAATCGTTTGGAATACTTTTTTTTTTCTCAATCAGTTTCCCGTCAAAATGGATACCGGTAATGAAGAAGTGTTGGAAAGATGCATAGAAAACGAAACGACTGATTTAGAAGATACGAAAATGACCAGTTTCCGGTCAAATATTGCCATCAAATTCTTAGTCATCGAACTAATTAGTCCTTTATTGTATCACCCCTTTCATGCGCTTACTTTTCAGATTCTTTTGTTTTTCAGCTGCTACATAGCGATACATGTGATTCACGTATGAAGTGTTAGTGACATCTATAGAAGGGGGAGGAGAAGTTGGGGAAGGTACACCTTTTCAACTTTCTTCCTCCTTCAAATTGCTCCTCCTTTACCCTATACCGCTTCGTGTACCTACGTATCTGGTCTATAGAATGAACTGAACTCCTCCCTCCCCTTCATGATTGACATTTCATTCCACCAATATAAGGAGATTCTATACTATTGTTACGTGTCAATTAGAGCCATCAAGGAGGATCCAAGAACCATAGCAATCGAGAATGCCTTCCATCACTTTGTCAGTCAATCCAACAAAAATCTACTGTCTTATTTTGCTTTCAATTGGTCTGATAACAGAAACATTAGCTCAAAGAAGAGTAGAACCACCTCAACAGGATGCACTACCGGGTATACCGCCGTTTTTGGACGGTGCACCCCCTGACGTCGTGCAAAGATTTTACGATCTGGTGAACAACGAATCAAAAACCACGCCAGAGATTGAAGCCGATGTCGAAAAATTCATACATAAACTTGGCGGGAACTATACGGTTCGTTCCATTAAAAATTGATTATTTTTTAAGCTGTAACGACATATGCCAGTAATAATGACTCCAGAAGCATTTTACTGCTGTTTCTGTTTGGGTAATTCTGATTTGCCCGTATTTTACCCTTGCTTGAGTGCAATCATACTTCTTAATTTAGAATTAGGTTAACTGGTCATTATTTTCAGATTTTACTTTCCTCTCCCAGCTTACTTTTTCTTCCCTTATGTCAAATACATTACACCAATAAGTCCATCAAACTTTTACCTTCGTTTAATAGTTCTAATTGAGTATTGTTTCTCAAAAGTAGTGTTAATTTCTTCCTCTTAAAAAATTTGAAATTGAAAGCGAAACAGTTTATGAATGAAATTATTACAGACACACTTGTCACTTTTTTTAAGAAGTGAACTTTCCATAGAAAAATAATGAAGATGAGTCAATTGCAGACTCGATTTGAGAAATTCAAGGAAGAGGTAAAGAGATTAAATGCTGAGTTTGAGACACAGCGTAGCAAAATAGTATCAAATCTTTCACCCGAAGCAAGAAAAGCCGATGCTATGTTATCTGATATTGCCAAGGATATGCATCTGACCAATCGCCAAAAAACGGAACGGATCTTAACGATTATGAACTGTAAATTTTTTGTAATTCATAATTATTTTAAAATGATTAAGAAAAGACCAAAGACTTCAGACTTTCTCAACATCTTAAAATTCTTAAAATATTTTTCAGAGTATATGACATGCTGGTAAATAAAAATTTGTTTTGCTTTTGAAGTGACAAACAAGTTTACAATATAATTTTTGCATTAAAATTAATGTAGGAACTTGTTTTTCGAATAGGAAAGAGTTTCATAACACTAGCAACTGGAATTATAAATTTCTCGATAATTGAATTAAAGTTGAAATTCTAAATAATTTTGTTCAAAAATTCGTCGGTATCTCTCAAAATTAGCTATTGTCTAAATCCGTAAGCCAATTATTGTCTTTTGATTGTTTAGAATCAGAAGGCTGGAAAATTTATAACCACCTGAAAGTCCTATTGTTTTCTTGGCAAGACGAATACTTTTATTTATTAGGTAATCATAAGTAATAATCTTCATTTACTCTCTCCACAAAATTTCAAACATAATGTTATATGTTTAAATTGTTGCAGCATTGAGTGAAACCGTTCGAAACGAGATCCTGGAAGCACTTCGTCCAAAATAAATGTTATATCAGTGGTGATAAGCGCAACAACTAATCGTTTATGAAACAAAATAATAAATGGACGAATGTTGCTATCATCAATATCGAATATTTCTTGCTAACTAATTAATATATATCTGTTTATCATTGTTGTTTCAACTTTAATTCTCATTAATTATTGCTATTAAAGTTTCCATGCTATCAATGCTACAACATAATACAAAGTATATTTGCATTTATGATTATTATCAATAAAATTCTGCGGTGAAAATAAAACAACGTCAAAAATTTTGTTGATAGGTCTTTGATCAGTTTTGCTATTTATGTCACCATCATATGACATTTGAAACGGTTAATAAAATTTTGAAATCATGAGCAAATCAAGCCCTTTTTTTGAACAAGTGAGAATCACAAATTTTACAATCAGTAAGTAAACATCCACAAAAGTTCCTAATTTTAATAACTGATGAAATAAATGGGTAAAAGAGGTATCCCAAGAGTGATCTACACATTTAATTCATTTTTACCTTCCAAAAGTTAAATTAATATGTACTTTAAGTCTATCCATTATGGTAACATCTAGGAAATTCTTCCATAAATTTGTGAGGAAAACTGAATATGGATAGCCTCATTCAGTGGTGAAACTGGAATACATTGTTTAGAAACCGATAAAATAATAATTATAGATTATGGTAATGTATGAAATCAAGAAGAAAAAGAATGAGCAGAATTTGCAAATACAAAATTTGAATCAAAATCAACCTTTTGTGAATTTTTCCTATGTGTTTAAAGCACTTCTAAAACAGTTAATACAGACATGTTAGTTATATTTGGAAATTTATTGAAACTCCTTATGAATGAAATTAAGTATATTAAACTTACACAAAACTTGGTTTTCCTAGTCCCATCAAAATAGAAGTGGTCACAATTCGATATGATGAGTGGTAATTTGATGACAATTTGTTTTTTCTCTGACAGTTGCTGATAAATAACAGAATGAATAGTCAAGTAATACTTTTTGTAAAGTTTTACCAGAGGAAAGTTGATAAATATCGTAACACGTAACACGAAAGTTAATAAATATCGTAGAGAAAGACTGATACTAACCTATTGAAAAAGAGAGAATTCCAGTAAGAATGATAAAAGCTGCAAAATGAGAAAAAAATGCGCAAAATATTTGATAGAGTACAAAAGGTCAGAAGGCTACATTCGAAGTATCCATACAGTGCTTTGAATTCGCTCAAGTATTACTAAATACCTGCAAAAAAGTGGCTGGCTTTAGAAATCATGGTAATTATTGCTTCCAAAATTAAAGACCATTGGAAAAATAGTAATCCTGAAATGCTTTCGTCGACTCACTTATACTTCTAACGACCTTTACACCTTTGCAAGTTCTTAAGCTTCATTTTGGCTCTTTCCATTGTTTCACAGTAGAATGAAAAACTACACCTCGAGTGCAAAATTAGAGAGCATTCTGGCGAATATTCTAACCTAGATTGTTAATTAGAGTAATTGTAGCACTGGAGAGTTTAGGTTACCCTTTAAGTTTGTTACTAATTTTCTAAGATTCAATCAATGCGATTTCATCCTATATTATAATTTATAGAAAGAAAGCGCAAATTAGTCGTTGAAATCGATATTATTATTTGTCGCTGGTGCTGTTAAAAAAAAAAAGAAAAACGGAAACGAAAACTTCCATAATGATCTGATCACTTCTATTTACAATATTTCAACAATCAGCATCATCTTTCAAAATATGACGCTGAATACCATTTACTTAGGTAATATTTCCATGTAATTATCACTTTGAAAGTTGATCAGATGCTTAGGTTTTCGTTCTTCATATTTTGGATCATAAATGGACTGTAAAGTAGGCCTAAAAAAGACCAATAAATTAAAGGTGTTGTAGTTTGGACGCTTCCATATTGCTCCGTGTGGTATAAAACAAAGTAGAAAATAAAAAAAAGACATATTTAATTCGAACAACTCTGAACTGTCCTTTGAATCGTTCACTGTACTCTGTAGCAAATATCTGCGGCATCAGCGAAATTGATGGGCGCAGTTTGATGGAAGAAAACTTCTTATTGCGCCGCTGCATTTCATCCCAACTTTGCAACAGAGAATGTAAATATTGGGGGCAATGAAGATCTTTTGTAAGTTTGTCCAGGACAGATATCTTCAGGGCGACATTAAAATGCATTAAGCACATTAGTTACTATGCTCATTAATTACCGGCAAATTTATGAAAGGAAGCGGGAAAGTCTATTTGAGTCATCGTTTAACTCGTCGAAGGTAAGGAATCAGAATATGACCAGTGTGAAAGATTGCGTTTCCAAAAAACAAATTTATTAGGTTAATTTTTCCTGTTAGAGATGGCCTGAATTTACTTTACTGCGACAACTATTATGGGATTATTTGGAAAATAAGTGGAAGGGTGTTTAGGAATTTTGAAAACTCACAAGATGATATTTGAACCACATTTATATGATTTCCAAATTAAATTGCTGAAAATATAGTAGTAATGACAAAAGAAGGAAATTTGAAGGAAGAGCCTTTCTACCTAAGCAGCTTGGCATTACATTGAAGTGTTCGATTCTTTAGTTGTGTTCGAAGAGATCACTTCTTCAGCATTCCGTTTTCTCGAAAAATTTCCCGTTGCGACATCATAGGAAAAGTATATTGCCATCATTTCTTTTGCAACATTCAATTTGTATTTTTTTTTTAAATTATATTTGCATAGGGTGAAAATGACCACTAATAATACGAAAATCCAAATTATTTAAGCATGGCGACGTACTTGTGACTAATGTCAAACAATAAATTTGTCCTTAACGAAACGAAACTTTCAGTTAACAACAATATGTGATAGAAGGAATCGGATAGATGTGATGAGAGTAGCGGCAGATAGAAAGGTACGTTTCAAAATCATTATTAAAAGAAAAATTTTTTACAAGTCCACTTCATCTAGTCATATGACAGATTCTCATTATTTGAAGTAATGTTGCTGAAAAAGACAAGATCGATTTTGAGCCAGCAAAGCATTTCTGTTGTCACAGTTGATGGGACAAACATGAAAAATCAGTTAATGTTTAGGTAATTTTAAGGTTTGTATTTTTCTGTCTCATTTTGTATTTTATTTTGAATAATATCTCCTTTTTGTTCCATTATTTTGAACCTTTATTTTCATTGTTTTTTGATTAAATATGACCAGGAATTCTGCTCGAACAATCAATAATAATAATAATAATAATAATAATAATAATAATAATAATAATAATAATAATAATAATAATAATAATAATAATAATAATAATAATAATAATAATAATAATAATAATAATAATAATAATAATAATAATAATAATAATAATAATAATAATAATAATAATAATAATAA